TGTAACATCCCAACTGCATGTTAAAACATAAGTCAGAGCCAACCAACTGGCATTGTTGGGCAAATCCACCTTTCATTCTATCAAAGCCAAGACACGTTTCCATGTTTCAGAGTTATAACATACCTTCATGGCCTTCATGTACTCCCAAACATCATCAATAACATAGACACTTAAAATTGGATCTGCTGAAAACTCTCTTAATATTTGCAACATTCTGCCCAGATGGACCTCAGAAGACTCACTTTCTTTTCCTGGAAAAAGTATTGTTATCAGCTAAGTGCTTTACTTGACATGACCATAACACACATAGTGTGACAGAGTCCCAAGGATCAGAACCTTTTGAGCCAGACTGGGAGCTATTAAATTTTTGAGCAATCAGGTGATCAAACACTAATTCCCCAATGGCACGCCGAATTTCTGGTGGATCATCAATGAGCAAATCATATAAAGGGCCCAAGTCATCATCAGGTAGAAGCTGATGTCTGCAAGAAGCAACATGATCCACTTTAATGCTCCAGCCATTATACATAAATTCAGCAATAACATATTAAGACTGGGAAAAACATTTAAGAGGCAAGTACCTGAGTAATTGTTTCACAAGCCCAATGGCACATACAGCCACTGAAACATCTATATCATCAGCAAGTTCAATCATGCGATTGGAAAACCTTTCAGAAAATAGACCTAGAGTTGGCACATTATCATCCACCTCATAAAGATTTTGTAATGCAAGGACAGATGCTTTTCGTACACTAGCACTCTTCAGATGCATCAGAATCAAAAGCAAACGTTAGATTGGAATAGTGCATAAGCAGAAACAAATACAGTATTATTTGGTAAAAAAATTTACTTTATCATTCAGAGTCCACCCAAGATACTTTAAGTACAGATCCTGCAAGAAGAATGAAGGATATGACAAAATCCACACACCAAGTGATTGTATGCATGCCATTCGAATATTGGGATCAATATCTCGGTACCGATGCACAAATAACCTTCAAAAGAAATATACAGCATAAGAAAGAAGAAAAGATGATAATACTTCTCTAATCCATGATAATAATATGGTCATAGGTCATACCCAGTGAATATTTTCCGCATCATATCCTCTAGGTTTGTTATATTCTTATGAGTCATTGACAACCTTTTATTTAGAGACTCCAAACGAGGCCCCTCAACTCGTTTCTTCTTTTCAGCATTCAACTGTCTCTGAGTGGTTTCTCGCTGTGCACCAAGCGTTTTTGCAACAGATATAAAAGATGTTACAAGTTGAAGGCCCATCAATGAAGCAACTTGACGGTAAACTCTCGGAGGAGTGCTGTTTAGTTTTGACACCAGGTAAATTTTAATTAAAGCAAGTAACTTTACGAAATTCTGCAATTTTATATCCTCATAATAATGGAGTACTAACCATGACAGAGCAATAATGTAGTCCATGCATTTGTCAAATAAAACCTTATCAAACAATGGTCCATTTTGGCACTCAACAACTAAGTTGTCCCAAAATGAAATAAGATTATCCTTAAAGTTTTTGAATTCCTTTTTCTTCGAACTTTGATAATCTTCAACTTCTCCCTAAGATTCCACAAGAGTTAAGTAAACACTTTGGGCACAAAATCTTGATGCATGAAGGTTAGTTAACATAAATTATATTGATTACTACATAAGAATTCTATGAAAAATCACTCAAAATGATAGTTAGCTCAATAGAAGAAGTAGCTGCAAAAAGGGAATCAAGAAAAGGATACTCTTCTAGCAAGATTCACAAGAGCAATCACTACATCATCCACATCAATCTCATCCAGCGACTCTCCCTGAATATAATATTTAGCTCCACACGCCTATACAATTGTACTTTCATTAGAAACAACTTCAAGATCCAAAAGTTTCATAATAACTCAGATGCACTTGCAATATTTTGCTGTAATGGTTCAAAAACTTAAAGAAACAGTGAGTACAAAATCAACTCAACATCTTATGTCTTCAGGATGTTCTCTGAGTGAATTTTTTATGACATCCAGTCATTTTATTGATTCATACTTTGCTTCTCTCCAAGTTTCTTTAGCATTTCATTTTTTTTAATTTTCATATACCTCAAACAGCATCGTCAAGAGTTCAGCCATAGCAGGTTTTGCATCCTTTTCATACTGCTCAACCCAAAGCTTGACCACTTGAGGAATAATTTTTCCATTTCCTTTGATAAGCTCTGCAGAAGATCATACGACATAAAAACAGATCCTAATAAAGGATTAGGCCATCTATGACATACATAACAAAGATCAATTAAAGAATGAATGAACTGATATCTAGATAACAAGTCTGAGAATAGTCAAATTTGTAAAGTCACTTTCCAGACAAAGTATCATGTCAGCTAAATAAGCTTCATAATTTAACATCTCAAAGCAAAATCAACACAGTTCTATAAGAACCTTTCTTGACCTATCTAATGGTAGGAATGTGTTGCAATGATACGGTTGATAAGTACTAGCAGTCCACAAACAAACAATAGCATACAAAAGATCTCCACAAGTAGCTCACAGATCTCTCAAGGCTACCACTGCCCAGTCCTAAACCCGAACCTAAAACTTAAAAATCTATTGTAGTGTACCAATGGAGCTGAATGCTTCAAACAAGTCCACCCAGTGGATTTGGTAGTAAAATATTCCTAATCTCATAGGAAAAAAATTATCTCAATCAATTCAGTTCCCCTTTTCTCATTCATTATAACACATTGTGGAGTGACATCAACGAACTGAAAAACCTCGCCTAATAAAAGGAGAAAAATAAAAGATTGCTCCTCAGTTTTTAGTACATTTCTATATTACTAAGGAGCCACATACTAATGTAGTCAGTAAAATTGTACAAAATTATAAGGTTTACAGACAGTTGTGCATACAGAGTATATTCTCCACCTTAATTAAAATATTCCGATTATAGAGTAGAAGATATTCATCCATAAAATAATTACATTGATAAAAAAAATTAAATTAAAAAAAAAACATTATTAATATAACTAACATCGAACTTAAATAAGTCCCCTTAAACAATTCTGTAACGGCCAAATTCAGTTAGCAATATAATCAGCTTGTGATCTCTCGTTAAAATTCAACAGTATTTTCAAAACTAAACACGTTATCAAGATCGCATACGCATATTCAGCGAGTAAATGACATAAATATATACAAAGATTCTAAGCGCAAGATTTTGGTTTATTTACCCATCAAACTTAGTTGACCTCTCTGAGCTGAACCCGAAGTCCCTTCCGAAGCACGACTGCGCTTAGTTCTAGGACGAATTTCGTCAAGATCGTCGGGCGAACCCTCTGGGTCCACTCGGTTGGGGCTCTGGTCACTTGCATCACTGGTCCGGTCATGGTCCTCCACAGTGGCACCATTTCCCTTCCTTTTCTGTACAGGCCAAAATATTATAAACGTAAAGTGACAGAAAGAGAGAACGAGAGAGAAAGTAGAGACTCACTGAGCGGCGTACTGTAGTTCCGGGGGCCATAGGTGGGCCACCACGACCTAGGGTTTACGTAAACGGAGAAGTTGCAGTGAAATTTTACACGGAGGAAGAGTATAGAAGAAGAATTGAAGAAGTATTTTTGCCCTAGATTTGCGAAGGAAATGAGAGACACTCAGAGAGAGAAAGGGGGAATTAATGACTCTCCCGCCAAGTGAAAATTCGGCGTTTTATAGCCGCTGACCGCGTTTCTTGATGCACTAGATCCTCTCTTCACACTAAAATAAAAATCATTTTTTTAACTGGGCAACTAGCCTCTTTTAACTTCAACGCTGTTCACTCGCTAGACCACTCGTGCAAGGGAGTTTCGTCGCATAATATTAATTCAAATTTTATATAATAAATATCGCCTTTTTATTTCAAAATTATATACCCATATACAGTATTCTAGAAAAGGGTATTATTTACTTAATTTTATTCGTGACATTAAGAACATTCATTAGAAAACCTTGTTGTTATATTGTAATACTTGCAATATGTACAGTGTTGCATTCTATTACATGCTTTCATGTTTTACGATATACAACACTGATATAATGTTTTAAAAAGTTGGGGCGGCAGTAAAAGCCTAAATAATTGCAAAAACATATCACAGATCGGCATTTCGAATATACATATATACTCATTTTTTATTTAATATAATTTTACTGGTTATTAATAATAATACAATAATATTATACTTATAAAAAAATCTTACAAAGATTTTCATATAAAGTAAGGTGACAAAAAATTAATAGAAGAATGAAACAAAAAGTTAAACTTATTAAATTCATTCTTTCATTTATTTTTTGTCACATCACTTTATATAGTGATATTTGTAAAATTTATTTATAAGTGTAATATTATTCATAATAATATACTCAACATTTACCTTATTTAGAATATATTCACTTTGACTATAAACTACCACCGAACAATACATGCAATACCTGAAATTGGGTGACTTCTAAGTCAAAACGCCAATCTTAGAACCGTAGCCGTCAACAAGTTTTGAGTTATAAAGTTTTACTTTTTTTTATTTTTTTTTTAATGCAATTGTTTAGTGATAACAAATTTTAAAAGGGTTGTTTAAGTAAATTTCACTAAATACAATCATAAATGGCATCATTTTTCAAATTATTTAGCCATTGATATCTTAGCCTGAATACCCAACATAAACGGAGGAAATGTGCTTGAGCTGAGCTGAAGCCGTGTTGAACATCGTTTGTTCAACTCCTGTTCCTCGGAAAGGTTACACAGACCCTAACAAACAGTCACTGTTTCTTCAGTTTTATTAGACAGACTATTAAATTCAGGAGTATTCAGTTATTAAACATTCCAACACTTTTCAAAGCTGTAAAAGTGAGATTTTTATTCGTCTGAAAATACAATAAAGTATGCAATATAATTTACCTCCTAATATGCAAAGCCAACGATTCCAGATGCCTAAAGTACTAAAACACATTTAATTATAAACACAGCCTTGTTACAGCCAGACATGAAAAGCAGACCAATTGATAAATATAACAGTTTAATTTATGGCACAAGGTCAAAGTGATGGTGCACATAACCATTTGTAACTTCAATGAGACTTAGGGCCCCTTCACCCATGGTGTTGAAAAGCAATAAAATTGTTCACACAGCCACCAACTGCGCACAACTGAGCAAAGCCAAATCACAATCTTGATATCATGCAGTTTCAGCCATCGAGTTAATTAGGAGCTTATAACCTTCTGGTACTGCTGCCTGTGTCAGCACACATTGTGTCAATGCAGGGACATCAGAATTTAGGTCAAGAAACCTTGCCAGAAATAGCAACAAATGAAAATCTGAAATTCGCTTGACTAGTGGAAGATTCGGTGAGCGGTCCAGATGACTCTTAAGTGCCCTCATTGTTAATTGGGTGTTCCGGTTCTCAATGGGAAAAGTAGATGAAAGAGGGCCCTGTACCAAAATAAAAAGTTAGTGCAATGGCAGCATTAAGTAGTGAAGCACATGAACATTTAGGATGTCGTAAAAAGAAGTTAACAATGATCCAGTAAATAATAAAATCAGAAAGCTTCTCAACCAAAGTAAGACTAGCAGAAAAGAGCTCCCCAACCATTAAAAATAATTTCATCTTTTTAGTGCATGTGTCAAATTACACCTATATCTCAATTTGCAACATATCAGTTCCATCTCTAAAAAAACTAAATATGTAACCACCCATGCAAGCCTGGGCTGTATAAATACATAAATCAACACCGACATATTAAACCAGGAGGCTCTTCAAGTTACTCTAGAAATAGTTATAAAAAAAAATTACCCGAGAAGCAACCCTAACCTAAACCTAAGGATGACTTATAACCTCATATACAGTGTCATACTAGGTTTCTCCACTAAGGGACCGCCTGCCTTTTTGGCCTACCTTAGGTAGGAAATAACATCTCTATTATTATACTTATAACTAATCTACAGATGCCTATCAATATTCAGGCACCAGAACACCACAAGTTGCTGATAAAATATTGACTTTAGAAACTAAACCAAACGTCAACTCTTCAAATTGGAAAATTATAGTGTATGGTTCATGTCCTCACTCATAAGAGAAAAAGAGCAACAATATTTGATGTTTAGATGCTCATTCTTTGATTCTTAAATAAGTTATTGAACAATTGCGTTTCAAAGAGAAATAGAACTGAAAACGCGACTCAAATAAAACTTAAATGGACCCACTGCAATGAACAACAGATAACAGCTTTATTGGCAAAAAAGATTCATGAGCAGCATGTCAGAGACCATAAGCTAGAACAATGACTCAGAATTCTCAAAAGAGCCATGCTAAAACTTACTAAGCGGCACTGAGCATTCTAAGTGGAGATGAAACAAACCTCAACTATGGCCTCTAATTTAATCTCAAGCCTTAATTCTTCCATTTACCTTGTTATCTATATAATAAAAATTGCCCTATCATATGCACATATAAGTTGTCAATTATGTTACTACACAATTTAAAATATCTGCAATCATCAAGTCAAAAGTAATTCAGTTAACAAAAGCGCACCTGGTGATCCAAAATTTTAACCACCACCAAGAAAAAATCATTATCAACTTCCTTAACATCCTTCACACCAACAACCACTTCCTTCTTCATCTTCGATAATTTGGGATCATCACCTTCCGAAATCTCAGTCTCAAACCATCCCTCCTTAAACAACCTGACGCACATATCACTCATTTGAAACGCTTCAAAATGAATTGCGGCAGTTCCATCCTCACTCACCTCCAACTTAACCACCGTCGTTACCCACTCCTCCATATTGCTCTCCGCGTGATACTCAACGGCCTGCAAAACCTCCCTGGTCGATAAAGTGTAATCCTTTTTATTCTGCATTATCGTTTGTGTGAAAATAAACCCTACTTTCTTCATCCCCAATCCAGCAGCAATGCCATCCACCAATTTCTCCTCCTCCGGATCACGCAACAGACAAAGCATCTCCTCTGTCCCCTGCTGCGGCGGCTCGTAGATGAAATTCACCTCCACCTTTTTATCTTCCGACACCGTTCCATACATGAATCCCCCGCGTTTGACCGCGAACGCCAGTGATTCGTTGACGTAATGCTGAAAAGCGTCGGCACAATCGCGGTCGAAAGAGACAGAGTCACAATGCGGATTCTCCTGCCGCGTGACTCGCATCTGTTTGGCAATCAGGTCGTCCATGGTCATCTTGCGGCCGAAAGATCCGGCCGGCTGGATAGCAGGGCCCTTGATGCTGCGTTCTCCTTCGTAAGACAAGAAAATTATTGAGCCGTGGGAGATATTGAGAGAAGATAAGGGCGTGTTTGAGTTAGACATATCGGTGAATTTTTGGAGATCGGACGGTGATTTGGCTAACAATAGGTTTTGATTAGTTGAAAGGGTTTGGTTTTGAACGGGGATTTGAAGCTGGGATTGGATTAGGGTTTTGAGCTGGGATACTGTGATGTTTGCGCTGTCGATTGTGACGCGCTCAAGGCCATCTCTGCTGCGTATACGAAGCAGCATGTTTGCTCGAGAATTAGAGGTGATCGATCAGATTGAAAATTGTGTGGGAATTTAACAACTCTTGGGAGAACAAGTGCTTGGAGTGAAGAGTGGGAATTTGGTGAGAGAAGCTTTTGGGATTTCTTGGGAAGAAAGACTGGAAGAAGGTGGAAGGGACACAAAAATTTTATACTACTGCCATCTATAAGCATACGTCGTCGTTTGGGATGCGGATTCCCATTTACAGTCAGGTGAAGAGTCTTCAGTGTATCGTAATGAAACACTTCGTTTAGATAATGGATTGGACTCCTTGTTCATTTAGATAATGGACTCCTTGTTCATTTGGGCTTCCACGCCGTAACTTTTATGGTTGATTAACATTATCTTATAGTCAAAATTAAATTGTGTTTAATGTATATAAGGATTATGGATTAATGATCTCTTAATGATAGTATTGTTACAGCATCTTTAACGATACTCTTTATTTTGAAGAGTATCTTTCATATAAATAAAGAGCGTCTTCATTTATTTTAAAATATAAAAAATATAATTTTTATTCAAATCCAATAGATTCTTTAAATTTAACGAAGATGCTATTTATTTTTAAAAAAGAAACCTAATGAGAGAAAGAATTAATAAATAAAATACATAAGAATTTTTAGTTTATTAATTAAAATTAGGATAGAAAGTGAAATTTGACTCTCTAAATGTGGAGAGTTAAACTCACTCTTTAATTTATATTTTAAAGATAAAACTCTTGTTTTTATGGATAAATTCTTTATAATAAAGAGTTTAGGTCATATAAAGAGTCATTTGGAAATGCTCTTACCATTATACTTTAATCCTTTGAATAATTATCCTTCTCAACAATGAATTACACAATTTTACTTTAAATCTAACTTGTTTATTTACACTTTGTCAATGAATACATGTCAAAGTTAAACACCTTTCAGTTTGGCATATTTATTTTCATTGGTAAAATAAATATAACAATCTAAACTCATAAATGGAATGGACATAATCCCAACTCAATCAGGTCATGTAAATTAATTATTAATCAACATTTACAATCACGAGGATAGCTTAGAAATAGAAAGTATTATTAACCGGCAGCAGTAACACGTCTACTACAACTTATTCGGATGTAAACCAATAATACAATCATGAAAAATCCCAAAAACCTAAAACTCATCAATCTATCATTGTTTCGACGTTAATAATATTAATGAATTAATTATTTAATTAACAACACTACACTTTTTTCTAATCTCCCCCTTGGTGCCTGTAAGGACCCCAATGGCACCCATTCGCTTCATCGATTGCGCAAACTCAGTGAAGAACTTGTTTTGATTCATCAGCTCCGAAACGATATTTGATGCGCCCTTATTTGTTAAAACGGCGGCATCAGATTGGAAGAGACCTTTGTTCTGTTTAAGAGTAACGTAGTAATTAGTATCAAAATCTAGAGAACTTCCAGGGTCCATCTTGACAGTGGTGGTTGTGTCGCTCAGGCTCCGACATTTGGTTTTCAAGAAATCCGCATACACTGGGTCCAGTGAAGGGTCTTGATCTCCTTTTAACCCTTTTCCTGTGAAATTGTAGAGCTTGTTGCTGAAGAGTTTGCACCGCCCTATACCGAATGTGTGTGCACCTGATGCCAAACATGTCAGCTCTCATGTTCGTCTAAAACGCTTAACCGAGTAATAATATGTTGAAATGCAAAGTTGGACAGCTTAACTAAACTTATAATTATATATGTATGTTGTATACCTGATAGTACCACCAGGTCATGGATGGTGAGACCTCTGCTTTTAAAATTTTGTTTGAGCTCGGTGAAGTTGAAAAAAGGTGAAGGAATATTATCTAAGAACTCGGAAGCTAAGGACACTCGGCCATCTCTTCTACCAGTAAGCACTTTCCACATTGGTTTTTTAAACTGCAAATTTAAGTAATGTTGTTATTACACACATAAAGGGTTTGATTCTCTAAAGCAGTGATATGCAGACATATGTGTACTGTTTACACACAGAGAGATGTACATAAATATTTAGTGTTGTTAACAGTTTAAGTGATTACTTGATATGAAACCGAGTCCCTTGCGGCCAAAGCCACGATATCGGCACAAGATACAATTCCTGGACATTCCTTCTCCAGCTCTGCCTTTATGTCTTCGATGACATCAAAACCTGACAAAATGGCATTAGGAAATGTATCCTTCTCTGCAGTGTTGTTTGCGGTTGAGTTTATCAAAATTGAGGCGTCGCAACCCTGAAATGTTTTGAGTAGTAAGATAGCTTATTTAAGTAATAAAAATAATATATAAGAAGTTAGATGCAAAATGATTCGAAAGTAAGCATATATGTACATGTGTGTGTGCATCAGAACCTGAAATTAAGCTGCAAGTTGAATTAGCGTATTGATTTATTTTTGCTTCTATATATAACTAAAATCATGAGATGGCTGAATTATACCCGAACAAAGCAATCATGAAAATGCAATCTGAGAAGTTTTGCCGGCAACTTGGGGTTGGTTGAAACATGTTTTCAGGTCATATCCCTCACGATGTCCTCAGCACGAAGACACGTTTTCTTGTAGAGTCTCTTCCTTAGACTGCCTCCTTGGCAAACACCATTAAAACAAAAGGCAATTACACACACCAAGAGAACAAACTCACCCTTCACTTTCATCTCTATAAAACTTCACTCACTAACTCTCAATCTAAAACTATTTCTGTTATTACTGGAAAATTAAGGGCTGACGTAAGAGATCATGTGATGGGAGGGTGACCTGCTCTTGTCAGAACGGTAAACCCACGTCAGGCCTGCCAGCAGTCATGGAGCTCCCACGCGTCCTTTTCTCTGCTCCAAATCGCGTAAAATCAGTTTGGAAGGTGGGAAATGTGACATAAAGCCGGATTTACTCCTGACATTCGCACCAACCTATGGATTTACTGATGGTTACTTACACTAACCTCACTATAAAAAGAGGAAGACCCCTTCATTAAAGGGATTCGGCTATTTTACACTTGGAATTAGCTCTCTCTCACTCGGTCAACATTGTATTTATTTTTCTTGTCAATCATTTTATAAGTCAGTCCGCTGCTGCGACCTGACCGACTTTATTAATACAAATCAGTGGATGTAGGACTTGCTACCTTAGCATCCGAACCACTTTAAAAGGCTTTTATTGCATTTATTTCTCTTTTTACTCACAATCACGTGTGCCTCTTGATCAATCAACGTTGTACACGTGTCGGTTGGTTGGTGTCTAAAATCACGCATCAACAGTTTGGCGCTAGAAGGAGGGCCAGATTTAGTGTTCATCCTTCATCAGGAGAATCTCTAACCTACTGGTCCTACAGCAACAGATGGCCCGCCAATCTGAACCTGAACAAGCTAACTAGCGCGTTGAGGGAGTTCCCCAGACCCAAGGGGATACCCCTTCCAGAGTACCTCCATCCCTACAAATTGCTGCGATGGATATCCCAGCAACTTCGCAACTTGACTCCACCATCAGAGGTTACCTGGAGAGGTTCGACAATACTCTCCAGACGGTCAACCAAAGGTTGGATCGTCTGGACCAAGGCGTGCCCTCTAGAACAGTTGGGGCGGTGCAACCGCCAAAAACGCCTGCAGGTCGCGCGAAAGCGAGGCAAAGGGAAATAGCTCATGCCGCGAGCACTGCAGCGCGTAGACGCAAGGGTAAGCAAGTGGCAAAAAGCAAGCATACAGGCTCTAGAGGGCCAGCGAACACAAACCGTGCCCCGAGCAGGGTTCTAGTAAAACTGAGACTCGGCGAAAAGATAAATCTCGAGTTGTCCCATGCCACGTCGCATGTGAACCCGAACAGAAGTGCTAGACGGGGTGATTCTTATCACCGCCAGCGGAACGATCCTGATCGCTATCGTCAGGATGTTCCTCACACCTCGCGGGGCGGTTCGTACCACCGCGAGGGTTGTGAAAATACCCCACACCATCCATCGCCTTCGCACGCCTCCAACCAGAGTGTGTCGAGAGCGGCCGGAAACGCCGGCCAGGGCGAAGAGGAGTGGGACCTCCGGACTCTCCTAAATCGTAATCGCGAGGGTCGGACTCGCGTGGGGGAAAGTAATCCCCAACTGGCTCCGTTACCACAAATTGAGGAGTTGCAGCGAGCTCTGGACAGGCTGAGAGAGCAGCAGAGCGAACAGGCCCAAGTCGCCTCTGCATCCCCCTTCTCTCCCGAAGTGTTAGCTGCTCCACTCCCGCCAGGTTTTAGAATGCCTGACATGCGGCCGTTCGATGGGAACCATGACCCGCAAGACCACTTGTATGAGTTCAATGACCTGATGGAGCTCCACCAGGTTTCGAATCTTGCAAAATGTTGTTGCCTGGCTGTGACGCTAACTTCTCATGCCAAAAGGTGGTTAAGGTCGCTCCCAGCGGGAACGATCAGTTCATGGCCTCAGATGAGCACGACGTTCATGCAGCATTTCCAAGCAAATCGAAAGTTCTCGATGCCTTTGAGTTATCTCAGCAATATAAGACAAGAAAGGGACGAGTCCCTATAATCCTATATCGACCATTTCCACAGGGAACTCAACAAGGTGGCTCATGCCCCCGAAGGGTCCATACGAACTCTCATCATAGCCGGAGTTCGCCCGCAAACTGACCTGTGGAAAGAATTACAGGCTGAGGACGATGTTTCCCTCACCAGATTCTATAACCTCGCGGAAAAGTACCTCCGCATAGAGAATTCATTGGCGGCACTGCGACATCGCGATCACGGAGCTTCGAGCAGTATGTCTGGTCGGGGAGAAGGTAGAAGAGCTGATCGCAAAGGAGATAGTGACGACCAGTGAAAAGGAAAGAAACCCCGCTACGAGTACAAGAAGTCTTATGCCCCGATTCCTCGTCGTGACCGCGACAGGCCCCAGTACACCCAGCTAAACGCCTCTGTATCAGTCATCCTTGATAAGTCCGAAGAAGCCAGTCTGCTCGGAGAACCTGAACCCATGAAAACCCCTGCGACAGCTAGAAATAATAAAAAGTACTGTCGCTATCATAGGGACAATGGGCACCATACTGATGAGTGCCGAGCCCTGAAACAAGCAATCGAAGAACTTATCAAGAAGGGGCATTTCAAGGTGTACATCGATGACTCTGCTCCCTCGAAAGAAAAAGATCGGGGGGAGCCAAGTAGGAAGCGTCGCGATCAGAAAGGGGTGCTCGGTCTCAATTTGA